CCCAAGTCGGAGACCTGCTCTCGATACCGCTTGCCGCATGCCGCCTCTACAGCATCCCCCGTCAGCAGCTTTATACAAACCACTTCTGTGGAGGAAGAAGCTGCCGTGGCCTGCTGCTTCGATACGGGCTCCTCCCAGTCGACCGCGGCAGGCCGTTTGGCCACGCGGGCAGATCCGGCGGCGGCTGGCCGTTTCAATGCCCCGCCTGCGACCTGCGCCGCCGGGCGCTTCAATACACGCCTGGTGACGGCCTGGGCGGATGAAGCCGTCGCCTGCACTGAAGAGCTCACCGACGCATACGCATCGCACCACTGTCTCAACACTCCTCGGGACACCAAGACAGCTTTCCGTCGCATACGCAACACGGCATGCAAGGTGTGGTACTTCAGCCCTGGATATACCGCGCGCATGTGGTCACCAAGTGCCGCGTCGAGCTTTTCAGCCGTGTCATACTGCAAAGGTCCAGAGTCAGGGTGATACTTCACGTACCATTGCCTCAAAACCATACCGCTGACAGCGACGGGAGGGTCGCTCTCCGAGAGAAGCTGCGAGAGGACCTCCGCGGCGGCCTCGTCGGCGAAGCTCTCCCGATACTGATTGAGTCGAAGACGCTGGCCTATACATTCCTCCACAGCTTGGGCAGTATTCAATGCTCCCTTGGCGCCCCACTCCGTGCTGAGCCACTTCTGGCATACCCTGGCGTCAGCAGATACAGATAAATGTCCCAGGAGCCACTGCTTCAACACGGCCCCGTCAGTAGTCCCCTCGGGCATGTCTTTGCGAATACGTTCTCCATACCAGGTCTCCAGATGGCCAGCGTTCTGCACTTTGACAAGCGTCTCTTTGGAAGAATACTGCAGTAGCCACATCTTTGCGACCTGATCTGTCACATACAGTGGTGGATCCAACTGTCGGAGCGCCCCGCATAATTTGAAAGGTGTATTATACTCGATGCCCAGGTGGCGGATGGCAGAACCGTGCTGCTCCTCCAGCTCCTGGGCGCTAGAAATACTAACCTTGCCAGGCACAACCCGATATTTGCCCCACCAAGTCTTGCACGCCTGGTGACTGACCTGGATACCCTTTGCAACGAGCGCCTGATGCAAATAATACGGGCTCTCGCAGTCGGCCAAGGGAGGCCGCGACAGCTCTGGGCCATACTGGTCGTCAAGGGCTTTCGCCGACAAAGCCATGACCCATCCAAGAACACAGGCGATACCTTGATCCGAGATGGCTACGGATGTGACAGTGATCAGTCGGAGGCTTCCTGGGGCCGCTTGGGGTCCTCTTGGGGAAGGGGGGAAGCCTCCTGGCGCCGCTTGGGGTCCTCTTGAGGGGCTTTGGGGGGCTTCTTGGAAGCATCTTGGGGCCTCTTGGGGGCTTATTGGGTCCTCACGGCGGGCTCTTGGGGCCTCTTGAAGGCCTCCTGGGGCAACCTATGGCGCAACCAGTAGGGGGACGTTTTATTCTCGGCGGCCGAGGGCGCAACCTATGGCGCAACCAATAGGGGGGCGTTTTATTCTCGGCGGCCGAGGGCGCAACCTATGGCGCAACCGCAAGGGATTATGGCCCCTGGCAGGCGCGCGAACCCCGTTGCAAGAGCGTGCGAAAGTAGCTCGCGCGAGCTCATGTAACATAAATGTTGGAAAACCATTGGTTGTTTTAGGATTCGGACAGCGCGCGCGGGTGGAAATTTTGAAAAGTCGTGCAGGTGTTTTTCGAGGACCTACGGTGCGATTCGTGTGATTTTATCATGCGCGGTGCTAAAATTCTTAAGAACCCAATGGTTTTTGGAGATTTCGGCGTGCGCGCGCAAAAAAAACGAATGTGTCCCGCATGGTATTATTTGACAGGGATGATGGCCCTGGCAGGTGCGCAACCGTTGTCGCAGAAGTTCGAAAAAGTTGCTCGCAAAAGCCCGTTTGACAGAAATGTTTAAAAAGTGTTGGGTTTCCTACGAATCCGCAAGAGCGCGCGGGATGAGATTTTGACATTTTTTTGTTGAAAAACCATTGGTTTTTTGATGTTTTTATGTTAAAATCGCTCCGAACACTAAGCTTTTGGAAGGATTTCGTCTTGCGCGCGCGAATGTCCACTTTACCTTATTTTTTGCAAGGGATTCTTGAAATTTGATTATATTAGAACAAGAAATGTCATTTTATAGTGTTTTTTGCAAGGGAAAACGGATTACAACAAAACAACCGGATCTGGACCCCATCCACTTTTCTGAAGCTTTCACGAAAAAATGATGAAAATGTAGCTGCGGCCTAGGCGCGGCGGGGGGGCCGTGCACCAGGGGTCCCAACAATAATTATTCTTTAGAATTAATAATGTTCAACAACAACAATTACTAGCACGTGGGGACACTCCGTTCTCACCAGTGCCAGGGTTTTCATAGGAGGCGGGCAATACCCCCACTTTGTGGGGGGGCCGGTTCAAGCTCTACCAAATTTCCAAACGACTCTTCGCCACCACCCACACCCAGCTTCCCGCCCTATGACGTTCGGACACTTCACTTCGTGGCATGCGGACGACCGTGGCTACTACACTGACAGGATATGAGGCAGGTGCGCAACCGTGGTGCGCAGAGAAGTTCGAAAAAGTTGAAAAAGTTGTCGCAAAAGCCCGTTTGACAGAAATGTTTAAAAAGTGTTGGGTTTCCTACGAATCCGCAAGAGCGCGCGGGATGAAATTTTGACATTTTTTTTTTGAAAAACCATTGTTTTTTGATGTTTTTATGTTAAAATCGCTACGAACACTAAGGTTTTGGAAGGATTTCGTCTTGCGCGCGCGAATGTTCACTTTACCTTATTTTTTGCAAGGGATTCTTGAAGTTTGGTTATGTTAGAACAAGAAATGTCCACTTTGCCTTTTTTTTGCAAGGGAAAACCGCCCGTAACAAAACAACCGGATCCGGACCAACCCGTTTTGCCAGAGACTTCCTCACGAAAATGATGAAAACATGGCTGCGGCCTAGGCGCGGCGAGGGGGCCGTGCACCAGGGGCCCCAACAATAATTATTCTTTAGAAGTAATAATGTTCAACAACAACAACAACAACAACAAGAACAAGAACAACAACAAAAACAAAAACAAAAACAAAAACAACAACAACAACAACAACAACAACAACAACAACAACAAACAAACAAACAAACAAACAAACAAACAAACAAACAAACAAACAACAAACAACAAAAACACGAATCCGCACCGCGGAATCTCATTTCAGCCACGCACCCAGGGACAGTGAATGACCGTTCGGCCCCCTCACTCTGACTTAGTGTGCACTGTGAGTTTTCGTTTCTTGTGCCGTTGTGTGAGGCCTCATTGTATAAGTGGTCGATGGGGTCATATGGGGATTAATGCACACACATCGCTAATACCCTTTCGTCTTATTCGAATCATGCGTGTCTAGTTTCCTCCTCGCGCATATTTTCTTGCACCGATGCACCGGTTCCGCCACACGCATTTTCCTCGCTGTGCGAGTCCAGGGTTTTGCGTCGGGCCTGGCAGGCTGTGCGGGGCTGCGTGCGACAGACAGTCGGACTAGAACAGCGGAACGCCGCCGGAGACCTTTTTCCAATATGGCTGGCACCGCCTCGATGTCTGTGTGCACATGTGTTCGCTCGGCCCTCGGTCTGCTTCTCTTGGGGCACTGGAGGGGCTACGCGTCTGGCCGAGGATCGCCCCAGGCCTAGCTGCCTCCCATGCCGATACCAGGGCGCGCATGAATGTTTTCGTCTGGAAAAAACATGCATCAGTAGGTGCTGCAATGCACCCTCCCGTCCCAAGTCTCCTCCCTCATACACCCCTTCAGGTGTTCCGTGTCATTGCAAGAAGCGTCCACCTTTAAGGGCCAGCACATTTGGGCCTACCAGTTTGCCGATTATCCCGCTTTTAAAAGTTGCTTTGCATATCTCAGGCGCGCGATCATGCAGTGCGACGGGGTGTCCAGGCGTATCTCAGGCGCGTGAGGTTGGACAAGTAGGATCATAAACATAGGATCTCAGTATATCATTAAAGGAAATTGCTTTGCATATCTCAAGCGCGTGATCAGGAGGATGGAGAAGTAGGATCATACAGTGCAGCGGGGTGCCCAGCGAGATCCCCGTTTCGAAGAACGACCGCCCCCCACCCGTGTTGCTATTGCTCAAGCTTGCGTTTGTGCCGTCATGAACTCCGAGGAAGTCTCAAGCGACAGCTCCATCGTGAAAAAGAGCTGGCCTGGATACGTGCAGCGCTGCATGTGTCGAAGCTCTGGCTTTGTGAATGGAGCGAAGCCTCCGGCGATACTCCCAGCTCGAAACAAAAAACAGTCCCCCCTCCTGCCCAACGATGCATTAGACATGAACGTGCGCAGCGCTGACGCCGGAGCTCCGTTTCGAAAACAACCGCTGGCCCATGTTCGAAGCTGCTGCACGGTCTTGCGACAAAATGCGCCTGGCGCGAAGGCGCGAACCCCACGTTGGAAAGGAGCCGGCCTCCGTCCGTGAAGCTAGAGGAGGAGGAGGAGGAGGAGGAGGAGGAGGAGGAGGAGGAGGAGGAGGCGGCGACTGTACGCGGCGCTCTGGCGAGAGCCGCATTCTGAAATTTTCCCCTCAATGCGTCAAACTGCTGCGAACTTGGGAGACGAGCGCGCGCGGCGCTTAGGCGAGAGCTGTATGTTGAACGCGTTGAATTTGAAGGTTGCCGCCTCTACCCCAAACAAGGCGTGGGAATCGCGCGGATGGCAACATCCGCGCGACGACGTCGTCAAGCAGTGCTCGAGGTGAGGTAGAGGAAAACGTGTTCGCCTGTCTGGACTCCAAGCAGCGTGTTTTAGTACAAATTCTGTGGTGCAAGTAATCTATGTGGTTCAATATATTTGGTGCAATTGATTCTTACTCATGAGTTGACACATTCCATGTTCTTGCAAACATCCCTTCGGGTGGGTTTCGGGCGCGGGCCACCCTTCTGGGGGCAGCGAGGCCGCGCAAACACGGCGGTGCAGCAGAGTGCCAAGAGCAGCGCCGCAGAGCTGGCAGCGTCGATCGACGAAGCCGTCGGTGTCCGGCAACTTCGCGATCCGGGTCTGCGGCCACTGCCCGCCCGTGGCTGCGGAGAGGAGCTGCGAGCGACAGCGCCCCGTCCACTGCGGCACCGTGCTGCAGGGTTTCCCGCGTCCTTTGAGGAGCAGCCCAATCGGGCGGTCCACGAGCAGCGTGAGCATCTCGGTCTGCGCCGGGGCGTGCACGGCGGGATCCCCAGCGATGAGAGTGGGGAGCGTGGTAGCCACCCTCCGGGTGCGCCACCTGGCCACAGATCTGCGCACCGCAGCGGCGACCATCGCGGGGGACATGAGGATGAAGTCCACAGGCTCGCCAAAGTCGTCGTAGAAGCACCGGGGAGATTCGCAGGACCACCCAAGGCGCCAGGCAGTGGCGATAACGCCGGCCACTGGACCCGTGACTGCAGACCACGGCGACCTGCCCTGGTCCACCACGTGCTGCAAACGCTGCCGCGCGAGGCCGAAGATGCGCTCGAGCTCCGAGGAGGGTGCCCAGTCCTGCCAGCAAGCCCACCCCCGTGTCGTAACGGCGTCGCGTGCGCCGCATACGCGGGGTCCAAAGTAGCGCCCCCAGCGTCCAGCACAGCGAAGCCCACATCGACGTTACGATGGGCCCCCGGCGGCAGGGCCGCACTCAGGGCAGCAACCCTCACACTGTGCAGGTGGGAGCTGGACGCTCCCACGATGTCGATGCCGTAGAGCATGCTGGGACTAGCCATGGCGCCCACCACGCGGGTCACGTCAATCCGCTGGCGGCGGAGGGCGTGTATCTGTGGAATGCGTTTCTGAAAAGCTTTGAGGCGGGCCTTCAGCTCCCCGACGGCCCGCCGCCGCCCGCCCGAGAAGGGCGTGCCAAGTAGCTTCACGCTCCGCTTCGGGGCGAGAATCCGGCGCCGCATGCTGAGCGACAGCCGGACAGCATGCCTAGGCTTCGATGCCACTGCGAAGGACTTGGTCGGAGACACGGTTAGCTTCAGGCACACCTCGAACATGTCCACGAAGAAATCCGTACTGCGAGCTACAGCGTCCGCGGCCTCCGCCGAAGTGCCAGAGGCAGCAATGGTAAGGTCGTCAACGTGCGTGGTGCTGGCCGTGGTCGCGGTCGTGGTGGCCGTTGTGGTGCTCCTCGTGGCACTGGTGTTGTTGCGCGTGTTGTTGGTGCTCCTGGTGGTCGCTCCGCGGGTGCGGGGCGTCTTCTGCTGCGGCTGCTGTTGCTGTTTCTCCTGCTGCGGCCGCCAGCTTGCGCGCGGCTCTGGTGCGAGGGTTGGCGTTGTTGGCCTTAGCGCGCCGGGTAGAAGCCGTGACCTCTGTTTCTGGACGCTGTAGTCCAGACGGCAGTAACTGCTGGTCGTCGTCGTGAAGGTGCTGGATGAGCTGGTGGTGCTGGTGGTGCTGTTGGTCGTGGTGGCGGTGCTGCTGGTCGCAGTCGTGGTGGTGCTGCTGCTGGTCGTAGACGTGGCGCTGCTGGTCGCAGTCGTGGGGCTGCTGGTCGCAGTCGTCGTGGTGGTGCTGCTGGTCGAGGTCGTGGTGGTGGTGCTGCTGCTGGTCGCAGTCGTGGCGGTGCGCGTCGTAGTCGTGGTGGTGCTGCTGGTCGCAGTCGTGGTGGTGCTGGTTGTGCTGGTGGTGCTGGTCGTAGTGGTGCGGCTGGTCTCGGTGCTGCTGCTCCGGGTTGCGGCCGTGGCGCTGCTGGCCGCAGTCGTGTTGCTGCTGGTCATGATCGTGGTCGTGGTGGTGCTGCTCGCAGTCGTGGTGGTGGCTGGTCGCAGTCGTGGTGGTGCTGCTGGTCGCGGTCGTGGTGGTGGCGCTGCTGGTCGTAGTGGTGCTGCTGCTGGTCGCGGACGTGGTGGTGCTGGTCGTAGTCGTGGTGGTGCTGCTGGTCGCCGTCGTGGTAGTGGTCGTGGTGGTGCTGCTGGTCGCAGTCTCGGTGCTGCTGCTCCCTGTTGCTGTCGTGATGCTGCTGGTCGCAGTCGTGGTTTTGCAGGTCGTGGTCGTGGTCGTGGTGGCGCTGCGGGTCGCAGTCGTGGTGGTGGCGCTGTTGATCGCAGTCGTGGTGGTGCTGCGACTGCTGGTCGCAGTCGTGGCGCTGCTGGTCGCAGTCGTGCCGCTGCTGGTTGCAGTCGTGGCGCTGCTGGTCGCAGTCGTGGCGCTGCTGGTTGCAGTCGTGGCGCTGCTGGTTGCAGTCGCGGGGCTGCTGGTCGCCGTCGTGGTGGTGCTGCTCGTCGCGGTCGTGGTGGTGGTGCTGCTGGACGTGATGGTGGTGGTGCTGCTGCTGCTGCTGGTCGCAGTCGTGGTGGTGCTGGTCGGCGAGGGCGCGGGGAGTCTTCGGGAGCTTGACCCTGGAAGACGTGACCCCAGGAGGGGTGGACACCGCCAGGATTGGCCGTGCCTGTGCTGCTGCGTTGTCTGTTTTGCTGAGTTGCCCTCGTCGGCCTGGCGCGGGCAGGACATGGTGGTAGCATCGTGGGCCCCCGCTGGACGGCAGCGGTAGCCTCGTGTTCGCGACGCTCTGCGGTCCCCGTGCTGGCGTTGGCTCGGCAACGTTCCTCCTCAGCTCGCGGGTGCGTCGGCGTGCGCTCGGCTGCGAGGTCTCGCAATCCGCCTCTAGCATTCCTACTCCAGCCCGCGCCATGACGGCCGTGGCGCCCTCGTTCCTGCAGTCGGGTCTCGCGCGCGTCCTGGGGCTGCGCCTGCGGCTCCGGTGCGCGAGGAACGCGCGCAGGAGCGTTTGGATGCAGTCTTGTGTGCTTGCCGTGGGTGGGTCGCGGTCGGTGTTGTCGGGTTGTTGCTCTGGCTGCGTGGTGGTGCGCTCTTCGGTCTTCGAGCTGCCTCGCGCCGCGCGCCGCCTAAGGTAAGGTGAAACGGGTCCTCGAGGTAGGTCTGTCGTCGGGAGAAAGCCCCATACTGCCGCACTGCCTCGGCATGTTCGAGGTAGGCTTGTTTCTCTCCGTTCTCCCGCTCCCTCCTTTCGGCGCGGCGCCTGGAACGTGGGAGGTTCCTCGTGGCGCACGCCTCCTGGGTAGAGCGGTATTCTAGCGTCGGGCCCTCCGCGCTGGCCGTTTGGTCTGCGAGTCTGGCTCGGCGGTCCGCGTCGTCTCGCGGCTGGGCAGGTGCGAGGCCGTGCTTGCTTGCCTTGAGCCAGGTAGCGGAAGGGGTTGGAGCGGAGGGGGTCGAGGGCTTGTCGTGTCGTCGGGAGCTCGGTCGTCTTGGTCGCGGCTGTCGTTGTCAGTGCGCGGCCCGCAGGGGGCCGGCTCCGAGGAGGAGGAGGAGGAGGAGGAGGAGGAGGGGGCGGAGGCTTCTTGGGCGCCTCTTGGGGCACTTCTGGGGCCCTCCTGGGAGCTTCCCGGGGGCCTCTTGGAGGGTTTTTGGGTGCTTTGGGGGACTTTTTGGAGGCCTCTTTGGCCGTCTTAGGGCGTTCCTGGCTTGTCTGACGCCGTCGGAAGCCGTCTTGGGGCCTGTCTGGGTCGTCTTGGGGCCCTCTTGGGGCATATTAGGGGCTCTTAGAGGCCATCTTGGGCGTCTTGGAAGCTTCTTGGGCAATTTTGGTGCCCTCTTGGGGCCGTTTCGGGAGCCTTTTGGGCCGTCATGAGGCCATCTTGGAGGCCTCTTGGGCGATCTTGGGGGCTTCTTGCGCCGTCTTGAGTCGTCGGAATCCCGAGAAGAAGCAAATGCCACAATCTGTCGAAAACCTCCTTGGGAAATCAATGATTTTGGCCTCGTCGTGCCCTCCCGGAAGACCTCCTGGGCGCCTTTTGGGCCGTCTTGGAGGCCTCTTGGTGGCCTCTTGGGCAGTCTTGGGCCATCTTGAGGCCATCTTAGGCCGTCTTGGGTGCATCTTGGGCCGTCTTGGAAGCCTCTTGGGGCCATCTTAGCTGTCTTGGAGGCCATGTTGGCCGTCTTGGAGGCCTCTTGGGCCGTCTCAGGGCCCTCGTTGGCCGCGCGCGCACGTCGGAATCCTGCCAAAACCTTGCCAACGCCGACGCGTGGACGCCATAGTCGTCATCGGCGCCGTCATTGGATTTTCCGTCGCCATCGTCATCGTCATCGTCGCTACCGGCATCGCTACTATCATCGTCGAATGCGCCGTTGTTGACGTCGCCATGATACCGCGCCCGCCCGAGGCACCGGCTCGCACTGAGGCGCCCGCGCGTCGCGCGGCCTGCGAGACGCGCCAGGGGGCCCCCAGCAGACAGCGCTGCCGCGGCCGCGTCGGTCGCGCCAGATAAGCCGGCCACTCTGCGCGCGAGCCTGCGCGCGCCAGCACAGCCGCAGCGACGCGCCAGCCAGCGCTCAGCAATAGTTGCAATCGCCGCCGCATAGCGATTACACGAGCAATGGAGTCGACCATCTCAAGTTCGGCAGGGCGAATTGCCCCCCCCTCACAACCAGCAGAACTGGAAGTGGACCAGGAAGGCGCGGCTGGCCCCCCCACACAAGAGAATGAGGGCAGAGGAGGAGGGAGGGCTGTCCCACCCCCCCCCCTCCAGACAGGAAAGGAAGCGCTCAATCCCGCTAGTTACTTACGCTAGATGGGCCACCCTGCTTGCCAGATTCCCACCAGAAGAGGAGGGGCGTGGGGGCCCCCCCTCCTTCCCTGCCCCGCTGCTCATGGCCACCGTCAGGGAGGTCGGGGCTGAACTGGTGATCACCCGGAAGTCCCTAATCGGCAACAGAGACGCGGATGGCACGGGTACCACCCTCGCGATGGCGAGCCCGATCGCGCATGAACAGATCAAGGAACTGGTCCGCGCCAAAGCTGAAGCAGAAGAAGGCCAGCGCACGACCCCCACCGCGCTGGTCGCGGATGCAAGCGCATCCCAAATACAAGCAGCGCTGGCGGCGGCAGGTTCGGGCGGCGGTCCCTGCAGGATACTCGCCTCAACCACGCAAGGGGTCCCGACTCCAGGAGGCCCGGGCCCGATCGTGCTGACTGCCATAGCCAATGCGCGGTGGGGGTTAGCAAGGCATCGGTTTACGGAACAGAGGCCCTGGCTCGTAGAAAATGGAGGCACACGCGTGCCCCCACTGGGGGTATCGGGCAGCCAGCCTGATCACGCACTTGGTACCCATGGGGAACCCCGTGCGAACGGGAAGGATGACCCCCCCCTCAGACAGTTGGTAGCGGCGCAGTTCCACGTAACGGACAACCCCCAGAGAACGCAGATTCCGCTATCCATCGTGGTTCACTGGGGAAGCAACAACGCCGACACCGGCGACGCCTTGCACACACTCGCACCAGAGCACCGCAATGACGCCATAGTGGCTCAGATAACCAGGTGGCAACTGGCCCTCGAGGGGGACGGGCACGCAGCAGTTGAGGCGGAATGGGCCACCACAAAAAGACCCCTCCCAAGGGACGAGACCCTCCTCAAAGAGGGACTGGAGCCGCTCTTGCATCACGTCGTGCGACGTCGGCCCGCCAGACTCACTGACATGCAGGCCCCCGACGACCAGCCCCTAGAAGAGCTACAAGTCGCCGCGCAGACCGCCCTGGTTACAAACATCAACGGGTGCACATGGAGAGCCAAGGAAACATCGGACTCCGTACACATCCCTATCCTGAGCGCTGCCACATGCCTCGCCCACTCCGCCGCCTCGGACGCAGCAGCCGCATTCGGGTACAGAGTCGGCTTGAACGGAGGAGGCTTGCTCCTCCTCAAGACCCCGGAGAGAATCGCGGCCCCGACATTGAAGCACCTCTGAGAGGAGCTCCCCCCCATGATCTTCGGGAGCGCGCGCAACTCCCCCGCCCTCAGTCCCCGAAGGATCCTCCTGGAGGGCAGCTGGGATGGCGGCCCTTCGCTCGCCAGACTGGCCGACCCAGAAGACGGCTTCCATCTCCGGTGGAACCTAGCAGACCTAGGGCAATCCAGACACCAGGATGCGATAGAGGCCGTAGAAGCCACCGTAGGCACGGGGGCGGTGGAGCAGATAACCACTGTGTACGCCTGGTTCCCTGACACAGGCGATCACAGACACATGACGCAGGTGGGGATCAGGCTGGACACGGCCGCTGCCATGGCAGCAGCCTTCTGCAGGACAAACTGCATAACAGTTGGCCCGCAGGTCATCAGGATTTTCCCGGCCACCCCCTCGAGAGAGCAGACAAGAAGGGACAGAGGGACCCCAACCGCGCAGCGAGAGCACATCGAAGCCCTCGCCCAGGA